ACACTGAAAGTTTGACTGATTTAAAGAAGATTAGAGTAGTAGTGAAGGGTCAGTTGTCTAAGGCTGAAAGATGGCTAGCAAACCTACAAAACATGTCAAAAGAAGTAATCAAAACCAGGATAACAACAATTGAAGATTATTGGGAAAGATTTAATTCTGTACAACAATTAATAGAAGAGAAAACTGAAGAAGCTGAAATTGAGAAAGAAATAGATTACAGAGTAGAAATGGAGGACAAATATTACAAGGTAATGGATGAGTTACAAAAACGTATGGGACAGCTTGCAGAACTACAAGTGAACACTCAAAATATTGTGCCTAGTACATCAAATTTGTCTACTCCACAACGTCGATCCACTACTTCCTCAATGATTTTCACACCATATCAGGAAAATGAATCATTCAAGAACTTCATTCGTCGATTTGAGATATTTCTATATCTACATAGCCAAGAATTGGAACCAAAGGATCATGTGTACACAATGCTACATGCCTTAACGCCACATTTACATCAGAAACTGTATGATTTGTGCGCTCCTGAAAGTCCTTTGGATAAAACATATGCTGAATTAGTAAGTCTTTTGGCTGATTATGTTGACCCTAAACCTAGTACTTGGGCCTTACAACACAAATTTATGACAAGAACACAAGAATCTGAAGAAACCGTAAAAATATATTCCGTTGAGCTTCAAAAGTTATCTTCAGACTGTGACTTCAACTGTAATAATTGTGGGAAATCAATTGCAAACACATTACTACGCATGCAGTTTATAAGAGGTATTAGCAATTCAGACATAAGAACAAAATTATTACAAGAAAGATCTGCTTCATCGTTTCAAGATGTAGTGAAACTTGCCTCCATTATGGAATTAGCAAAGAACGAAAGCTATATAGTAGAAGAAAACATTCATTCAAATGAGAAAATCAACAAGATAGCAGGTACAGGAACAAAACCACCCCATTTTTCTCCTACTTGGAACAAAAAGTTAAAGTCTCCATTTGAACGCCTCAAAGGTAAATGCTATCGTTGTGGATCACCTAGACACAGGGCACATCAGTGTAAATTTATCGGAGAAATATGTAAGAAATGCAACAAACAAGGGCATATTGCTAGCGTATGTTTAGGCACAAAACAAACAGAAATTCATTGTACCGAAACTGACAATACTATAGACTATTATAAGGAAGAGAAACAAGAGGTTTTTAAGATACACAACCAGAGTACCGGTAATGACAAGTTTATGGTTGAGATACTTATTGAAGGTAAACCTGTGCGGATGGAGTTAGATACTGTAGCAGCAATAAGTATTCTACCATACTCTACCTTCAAAAGTCTCAACATAAATAAAAAGATTTTCCACACAAACATAGAACTAAGGACATACTCAAGCGAAATAATCAAACCCCGGGGTGTCGTCTTTGTAGAATGCACTTACAATGATCAGGTGTTTGTTGGGAAACTCTACATAGTGAACCAAAATTTTGATGCCATTTTCGGAAGAGAATGGATTAGAGAGGTCAAACTGGATTGGGCAGAACTTAAAACAGTTAGTAACAATACTACATCTACTGCACTCGAAGATCTTTTGGATGAATTCAAGGAATTATTTGAACCAGGAGTAGGACTCATACCTCACAAAAAAGCACACTTACAGCTTGTTGAAGGGGCAAGACCTATTTTTGTGAAGGCTCGTCCAGTCCCATATGCACTAACTGAAAAAGTAGAACTTGAGTTGAATCGTCTGGAAGAAGCTGGAATCATTTCCAAAACAGACAAGTCCGATTGGGGTACTCCAATTGTACCTGTAGTAAAGCCTAATGGTAACATACGAATATGCGCTGATTACAAGGTTACAGTAAATAAACAAATCAAAGAAGAACATCATCCAATACCTCGGATCGAAGACATTTTTGCTCAAATGAATGGAGGACAGTTGTTCTGTACTTTGGATTTAAGTAACGCTTATCTCCACTTGGAAATGGATGCTGAGAGTGCAGAAATTCAAACTTTGAGCACTCATAAAGGACAATACATACTTAACAGACTGATGTTTGGTGTAAAAGTTGCTCCAGGAGTTTGGCAAAAGGTGATGGACGGAATCCTTCAAGACCTTCAAGGTGTTCAGTGCTTCTTCGAAGATATAATAATTCAAGAGAACTGGTGACCATGGGAATGCAGATTTCCTCTCAAGATTTCCTGTGGAAGATTCAAAATTTACAAGTATTGACCAGTTTGGACATTTTCAAACAAACCAATTGAACACCATAACTATCAATCCCAAAGAACTAGCCGAAGAAACTAAGAAGGACGCATATCTAAAACAAATTCTTGAGGCTCTTGAGGAGGGTCAATCATTAGAGCCATTGGGATTTCACGATAATGAAGTTACATTACATGAAGGATGCCTCTTCAAAGGGTGGAAAGTAATCATCCCAAATTCCCTCAAGAAAAGAATTCTCAATGAACTACACTACGGGCACATTGGTATAGTAAAAACCAAAGCTTTGGCAAGAAGTTACTGCTTTTGGAGAGGAATGGATAAAGACATTGAAAACATGATTGCTGTTTGCAAGCCTTGTCGTGAGAAACAAAATTCTCCAACGAAAGAGATCAACCATCCTTGGGAACCAGCAACTCAGCCATGGGAGAGAATACATATAGATTTCATGGGCCCAACAAATGGACAACAATTTTTCATTGTTGTTGATGCCTTCTCCAAATGGGTAGAGGTAATACCCACAAAAACAGCAACTACCGATTGGACTATTAAGGAGTTGAAGAAACTTTTTAGTACTTTTGGTCTTCCAAGCCTCCTAATTTCAGACAATGGACGAAGTTTCACTTCTCTTACTTTTCAAGAGTTTCTTAAGTCATGTGGAACTCAACACAAAACGACTGCTCCGTTCCACCCATCATCTAATGGACAAGCTGAACGCTTTGTACAAACAGTGAAGAAGATGTTGAAGTCGATATTAGATGAACCAGGAACACTTGACAGTAAAATTCACAAGGCGTTAATTCAACTCCGTCAAGTACCAAACTCAACAGGAAACTCGGCATACTATCTCATGTTCAACAGACAAGTAAGAACATACCTCAGTGTTATGATACCTTCTAGAATCGAGGACTCAAAAGACAAACCTAAAGGTATAACACACATATTTAAGGTGGGAGACCGTGTTCAAGTGAGAAACTACTACAAGGGTCAGAAAAATGGAGTTTCGGAAAAGTTACATCAAGAGATGGAAATCTACATTACAACGTTGAACTGGAGAACGGAGTAACATGCAGACGACATGTAGATCAAATGCTGCGATCAAGACTTTAAAGGGGGAAAATTGATGTGTCTTTTCTAACATACTGTATGTCTAACAAAATACCATATGTTATGTTTAATAAGTTAACTTTGTTTTTGTTTACAATCATTGTTATTTAGGATTCAATTCAGAATACACCTATTTTATTTGACACATCTTTTATTTAATATGTAACACTTGTTTACCTTTTTATTGTTATCTCGCAAATAATGGCATGGCAACTGATTAACCCATTAGGCCCATGTTAACCCTAGCGCTGGCAAACGCCGGATATACGGCGCGAACGGCCGCGGCCGAAATGGCGACGCCGGATATACGGCGCCAATGCCGGTGTTCGGTAGGCCTAAATATAATTTTTTTTTTTTTTTTTAGTTTTTTTAACTTTTTTGGGCTACTGTTGTAATAAATAAGTTAAATAATACAAACCAGAGTACCCTGGAATTATATATTATATAAGGTGTACGGATTTGTACATGACCTGGGTTGGGTGATTATTTGGTACTAGCGGGGGTACGATCGACATAGTAATAGGGCTACCAAACAAAATACACAAAATAAGCTATATAAACAATATATTTTTGGAATCAGCACAAAATGTACCACAACTTTACAATTTACCTTATGATGCTAAGTCTTACATGCACTTAGCTATACGACGGAATATAAAAACATTTTATAAAAAAAATTAATAATGCCCACAATATGGAAAAACAAAAAAAAATTTTTTGTGGAAACCATGTAAATCACCTATAATATTGTTCTTTGTCTTATTCCGAACAAAATGATATATAACAATCCATAGTTATGTTGCTATTTCTAATTTTTATGATGGTTTAAAAATGATATTACATAATCAATAATATCCCTACGCCAGTACAGTGTTACACTTCTGCCAGCTCTAGGGTTAAATTTCTATTGGTTTAAATTCACGAAGGGAAATGCCCTGTGGTCCGATTTGTACCATTTCAGATTTATACCTTCCCATGGTTGGTTACTCTGACTGTGCTAAATTTCGTGCAGATCACTTCAGCCGTTTAGGAGGAGTATTTGTAAAACAAAAGCAGGAGTGTAGGATAAGAGCTTCGCTTCGCTCTGATCAATAATTATGAGTGGAACAAATTACAAAAGACTGCATTAAGAATTATTTGTAAATTGAAACCACGCCAAACCTGTAAAGCATTATTTGAAAATTACCAGTTTATAACCTTTTACTCAATATATATTTACGAAACATTACTATTTTTAAAGAACAATTTGGAAAAGTTCTGGAAAATGATGAATTTTATCATGTAAAAAGAATTAGGATTTGAGAAAATTACAAATATTTTCTTCTAATTTCCACAAAACAAAGTTTTATGAAAAACATCTTTATTACAATGGAAGAAAATTATTTAACAAATTACCAACTAATATTCAAAACGTAAAATTAAAAGAAAACAAACAAAAATTAAAACAAATCCTTACTGAAGATTCGGCCTATTATATTGAAGACTTCAATGAAAAATGCATCAACATTTAAAAATGAAATTATAAAGAGTTTAATTTAATACTAAACCTAAGTTAAAAATTAATTAATTGTACTGTCGATACACAAAAGTATTTATTTTTTTTCATAATACTTTTGAGTAAACCTTTAAAGTCACTACACACACATTTGTTCTAAAATATATAGAATTACTTACTTCAGCAATGTTTTCTCCGGAGACAATGACAAATCAAGTCCTTCACTACCTGAAACAGTAAAACTTTACTGAAGAGGCTTTAAGAAAGTATTTAATAACAAGAGGTTGGTAGTTTATAAAATGAAAGACAGCTGACTTTCCTTTTGACAGAATATGTAAACCTGGCTAAATACAAGTCAATAGTGCCAAACCATTTATTTTCACAAAACATTTACAAAACCAGCAGAGCTGGGGAACAGGTGAAATAGTCATAAACAATAAAAATACATAACAACTAAAACAAAATACTATGATAAGAAATTATACAAAAACATTTAAGAAATCATTCACTTCATTGTACATTCTAACAATGAGCAATTTTGTAACTTCCTTTTTAAACTTTTCAAAAGTTTCTATTGGTTTGATACCCATGGGCAATGGGCATCCATCAATATGGGCTAGGGGGAGGGGCTTGAGCCCCTCTATGAGACCTTAAGTTATAAACACATTTTTCCCAGATCGTGACTTATCAAAGTACGTTATAGTACAAATATTAAAAACGATGCAGAAAACTATAAATTGACAAAGCAAATTTAGGTACAAAATGGTTGTACCTAAATTTTTAACATTTGTTCTAATGGGAAAACCCCGGGTTCTCATCTTTACTGGTGGGTTATTCCATACCTCCCACACTCCCCAGCCCCCTTTATGGAAAGGTTCGATGGACGCCCATGACATAAAAATACCTTTATGATTTAATTTGAAAAGAAATAACTTATTTAAAAGAGTAGACCTACTTACTTTCAAAACCCTACTAATATTTGAAGTCAATAAGAATGTAACAAAATACTGCAGTGTAGCAATAACATCAATTTATGTAGCATTTAAAATGAGTTCTGATTTATACTTGGTGATTATGTTTAAACCATGATACAATTAATTGATTCTTGTTCTTATTTTATTTTTATGTTTAACATGTATCAGTCCAAGGCCTACTCACATTCCTGGACAAGACTCTTGTAAGTCTCTGCTAGTGATGAAGTAGTGTGCTGTTGCTGTTGAGGAGGTGATCTCATGTTATGCAGCGATCCCTGACACTCTAGGCTCTGAGGACTAAAAGCTTGAGAGCAACTGTTTTCCTACAATTTAAAACACAGTTATTAAACATCCTTTTGAAGCAAACCTTAACTTAAACTTTGATATAGCTTAGCCCTATAAATTTATAGAATACTAAATTTTATAACAATTGGCTAAACTGTTCTAAAGTAGACTCCCTCTTATCCGGACACCTTTTAACTGGACATTGGTTTAATCGGACTACACTCGGCGGAAATGAAATCTCTTTAACCGGACAATTTTGATCAGCACATCGGTTTAACCGGACTAGATCGGCAGGAAGTGGGCGGTACTGAAATGACCATTCTCGTGGGTAAGATTTCAGACCAGTGATCACGTGTCTAAATACAATGCTCTCCTAAATTTATGTCAAATACGCATTTAAACGTTTTGTTTTTACGAGCTTTTGGGGACGTCGGTTTAACTGGAAAAACCGTTATCCGGACTGGCCTCGGTCCCGAGGAGTCCGGATAAGAGGGAGTCAACTGAACAAGAAATGAACTAACAAATGTAGGAAATACTGTATCCAACGAATTCATTAACCACATTTAAAGAGGTTCTTAATCATCATCATTATATTTACCCTCACTTTTTTCACTGATAAAAAAAGTTAAAGATTCAACATATAATAACTTCATTCTATCCACGGTATCAGCTGATTTGCATGAAAATTTAAGAGTAGGCCTTAGCGATTAGCAAATTGTGATTAATATGACACAGTTATTAAATTTAACATTGCTTGGATCTATACATGCAGGAAAGCACAAGACCGTAAAATCCTTAAGGCCCGTTCCATGAATAGAACGTAATAATCAGCCAGTCGGCACAGAGCGAAGAAAGATACAAGAGATAGATGTAGAGAAATAATGACAGAGACGTGGTGTTGAGGGAGGGTAGGGGAGAATGAGAGGACAAAAAATTTGGGGTTCAGGGGACAGAAAGGGGTAGGAGAGAGAGCATGAGAGGTAGGGTTGGGTAGAGAGAGAGAGTGAGAGAGAGACGTCATTCCACTCACTGCTGGAAAACAACCATAAGGAAGAAAATGTAGAACAACAAGTTAACAAAATTTTTTTTCATCATGCCTACATTAATTAACGACTTAATATAAGTATTAGTTACAACAGATAGCTACTCAATATGAAAAGAATACTTACAAAAAGTAAGTATTGTAAGTACGGTATTCTCGAATCCTCGAATCCCGAGTCGAGAAAATATAAATACAAATGGGCGTTTTTATATGATGATTAAAAAAGCAAGAATGGAATTAGAAGCATTTAAAAATAAATATTACACTAACCATAAATGACTACACTTTGCAATGAAAAGTTACGTAATTACTTTTGACACACGGGAAAATAACAGACAACTAATCGGTTAGGCCTACATCTTTTAACCTAAATCAAACGGTTGGTATACTTTATTTGGATGGCAAGTATTCATTACTAGCTGTGTGCCCGTTCTATATACGGGGATCTTATTGTAGTCAGTTGAAACCTTCTTATATTAAGAACAGCAGTTGGTTTGCATATTTTCAGATACGGTATGCTGGCAAAACTAAACTATTATATAAACCTTCGCAAATACAGGATCTGACAGTTTCAAGCCAAAACAAATGCTTCGCAATTAAATGTCACCCGGATCGTGTTGGTCCATATGTTAAATCCAATGATTAAACTAAAAAATGCTTTGAAGGGACAAAGAAGGTATCGACATCAAGGATAGCATGAGGATCCAAAGAGAAGAAACACTCGTTGACTGGCAGAGACGGTGGGAGTCTAGCACAAAAGGAAGGGAAACCTTTGCGTTCGTTCCGGATGTGAGGTTCAGGAAGAAAGTCCATTGGGAAACCGATCACTACACGACACAGTTCGTCAGTGGGCACGGCAACTTCAAGGCAAAGCTGAAAAGTTTCAACCTCGTCGATGATGATCATTGCACTCATTGCAGAGAGCTAGAGACATCGCAGCACGTACTGATGGAGTGCCCATTCTATGAAGAAGAAAGAAGCGACATGAGGGAATTCCTCCAACAAAAGACATGGGATTGGGAGAAGATCAACTTCTTGAGAACAAAAGAATCTGCGCTGGAGTTTGCCAGAATGTGCCGAAGGATAGGGAAGAAAAAGCATGAATTTGAAAATGCAGGAATACAGGCTGGAATTTGAAAAGAAAAATGTTAGGAAAGAAAGATAAGAATTAAGAAGATTGGAAAGAAAGAAAAAAAAATCCGATGACCCTAGTACAGAGGGTACTAGGTGAGGGGAGAGTTGTTGGTTAGCATGGTGTCTACTAAACCTGGTTTGAAAAATTCAAGGAGTTTTCCAGGAGAATTCAAGACAAATTCCTGAATTTTAAGGAGCTACTATCGGAACCCGTTTAACTAATCGCAACCCGCTAATAAATGAAAATGATTATTATTAGGCTATTATTATTATTAATAATGATTATTATTATTTGAAACAAAACATTTCCAAAGAATAATATTTTATACAACATAATAAAACAGTATAACTGGTAGGTAAGGCGACACCAGTTATCATCTCCCGCGATTGTGGGAATATCAGTGAGCATATCTTGCAGTATCTTCAACATCAGCGACAAAACGTCACACCGTCAACAATCACGGCAACACCCGTATTCATATTTTGCGGTTTGGGCGACACCGATAACCGTCTCTCGCGATCGCGGCAATTCCCGTAGGCATATCTTGCGGTTTCGGCAACACCGATAATCGCCTACCGCGATCGCGGCAATAGCCGTGAGGATATCTCGCGGGTTCGGCGACACCGATAACCGTCTCTCGCGATCGCGGCGATTCCCGTAGGCATATCTTGCGGTTTCGGCAACACCGATAATCGCCTACCGCGATCGCGGCAATAGCCGTGGGCATATCTCGTGGTTTCGGCGACACCGATAATCGTCTTTAGCGATCGCGGCAATACCCGTGAGCATATCTTGCGGCTTTAGCAACACCGATAATCGTCTCCCGCGATCGCGGCAATACCCGTGAGCATATCTTGCGGTTTTAGAAACACCGATAATCGTTTCCCGCGATCGTGGCAACACCCGTAGGCATCTCACGTGGTTTCGGCGACACCGATAATCGTCTCCCGCGATCGCGGCAATACCCGTGAGCATATCTTGCGGGTTTAGCAACACCGATAATCGTTTCCCGCGATCGCGGCAACACCCGTGAGCATATCTTGCGGTTTTAGAAACACCGATAATCGTTTCCCGCGATCGTGGCAACACCCGTAGGCATCTCACGTGGTTTCGGCGACACCGATAATCGTCTCCCGCAATCGCGGCAATACCCGTGAGCATATCTTGCGGGTTTAGCAACACCGATAATCGTTTCCCGCGATCGCGGCAACACCCGCAGGCATCTCACGTGGTATCGGCGACACCGATAATCGTCTCTCGCGATCGCGGCAATACCCGTAGGCATCTCACGTGGTTTCGGCAACACCGATAATCGTCTCTGGCGATCGCGGCAATACCCGTGAGCATATCTTGCGGTTTTAGCAACACCGATAATCGTCTCCCGCGATCGCGGCAATACCCGTGAGCATATCTTGCGGTTTTAGCAACATCGATAATCGTTTCCTGCGATCGCGGCAATATTCTTGTTGTAATACTGTGACAATGTATTCCAAACGCACCAAGGAATAGGATTGAAAGTCCAAAAGGAAAAGAGTTCACTGTCGCGGGTACTTCGGTACCCCATTGGGACAAAGTCCCAATCCGAGGCACCAATCTCATCCTATTCCAAACCAAACAAAGGAAAAGTTCCTACTTCACTGGCCAAACCCTACCTTTCCGAGGTCGCGGCTAAAAACGAAGCCCGGGTAACCCTGAACAACAAGGGAAATAAAAATCCCGGGCACGGCCAACAAGGGTTTTTCTTGGTGGATAGGGCGAAAAGAATAAAAGAAGAGAAATCCAAAACCCCTGGCTTAGACAACACACCTTCGGCTTGATCATTGTACATAACACATTGTATATTTGTAAATAGAATATCAACAATGGCTTATCAGTCAAGTGACCCAACAAAGCAAAACTACATTCCGAAAGGAAACACTCTTAATAGATCACCTATAAAGAAATTGGAACTACCACCAAAAGCGGAACTCCCCGCTGACATAAGAAATGTGAGATCTAAGAGACATCACCAACAGAGTAGCCCCGATGGGGAAGAAGCCAACAAAAGGCACAAGACAAACAGCGAGACACAAGATACCGATGGTGAAAACAGTAATCCAGATTATCACACTGATGAGGAAGACGATCAATTAGAAAATGCAGAGCAATTAGAGAATATGTCAATAGAGCATATGGAGGTCATGTCCGAGTTAAAGAACATGACCTCTTCAGTAAGAACATTAAACAGACAAAACAAAGCTGTAACCAAAGCTCATGCTGAAAGAATGGAGACGTATTCAAATGTCATCCAGAAAGGATTTTTAAAATTGCATAGAGAATTCCTAGAAATCCGAGGAAGATACAAGGAGCTTGAAAAGCAGTCTAAGAGGACTGTAGAGTCCCATGCAACACCAGATTTTGACTTTTGCAAGTTGACTTCCGATATCACCTCTGAAGTTACCAAAAGAGTGGTTGAAGCCATCCAGAATCAGTCTTTGGTTCCTCAATCTTGTCCAACAAGTTATGCCTCAGCTCTTAGCTCATCTGTAAGGCGATCCAGAAAAGAAGAACCTAAGCAAACTGAAGTTCTTTTGGTTTACCCAAAGGAGGGAACTAAGACCTCAGAAGAAACAAAAGCTGAAATCAAGAAAGTACTCAATCCAGAGCAACAAGGTTTGAAAATTAAGAGAGTATCAAAGATACGAAATGGAGGAATCGCTATTGAGGTTCATAGGGAGCAAGTAAATCTTGTTAGAGCAAATCTCGGAAATGACCTGCAAACCCGAGAACCGGCCAAAAGACGGCCTAAGATGAAACTATATGATGTACCAGCTGGATCAGATCCTAAGGATATTTTGGAAAAGATAAGAGCTCAGAACTTCCAGGATATCCAAGAGGAAGATTTTACTGCCAAAGCAAAACTCATTTTCAAGACAGGCCCAAAAGGGCAATCTTCTGAGCAGTGGGTACTGGAGATTGACAAAGAATTGAGAAAGAAAATTATAGACAACGGTGAAAGAATTTTCTTGGGCTGGAGGTCCTGTAAAATCACTGACTACTTTATTGTCACAAGGTGTTTCAAGTGCCAGAGGTACGGGCACCTTGCGGCAGCATGTAAAGCAACAACTGATACTTGTGGGCACTGCGCAAAAGAAGGCCATGTATTCAAAGAATGCCCAGAGAAAAATTGGAACTATAAATGCTCCAACTGTATTAAGAGTAATCTAAACCCGTCTCACAATGTAAACTCTGTAAATTGTCCCTGCTACAAAAAGGAAGTGGAACGTGCCAAAGCGCAAACAGAATATGACTAACAACGCATCAGAAATGGCAAGGATCCCTCCTTTAAGTAGAACTCCAAACACTATCTTGATGGGACAATTAAATTTGCAAAATTCTGCCAATGTAACACATGAAGCAAGGCAAATAATAGAAGAGTTAAACATTGATTTTCTACAAACTCAGGAGCCCTATTGCTACAGAGGAGACATCAAAGGGTTTGGCCTATCCAGCACAAATCAAGTTGTTGGAGGAGCCCAACAAGGGCAAAGACACTTTGCTGCAGTGGTCTGCAAGTCACTCTACGAACCACTCAAAATGTCTGAATATTGTACTGACCACTTTGTGGTGATCAAGACAAACACCTCAATTGGACCAATAGTCATTATATCTAGTTATTTTCAGTTTCAAGACGAAATTGATCCTTACCTTGATCAACTGGAGATCATTATAAACAAAGAAAGGAACAACATGTTACTTGTGTGTGTTGATGCCAATGCTCACTCTCCGGCGTGGCACTCAAGTGTTGAAGATCAAAAGGGAGCTCAAATGAATGATTTCATATCAAACAATAATTTGTATATAGTAAACAGAGCTGGACAACCTGCCACGCACAAGACAGGGACGAATATTGACCTCACTTTGGCGTCCAGAAATTTACATGAAAAGATAATTAACTGGACAGTTCACGAAAACATGAGCCTAAGTGACCACAGATTGATAACATTTGAAATCAGGCTAAAGCTAACTAAAACTCTCAGCATAGCAAACAATTATAACCTGCGCAAAGCGGATTATGATCGTCTAAACAATGTGCTACGACCGCAACTACTTAATATCAACTCTAATGATCCTGATGAAATTGCAAGACAAACAAATGAAGCAATGGAAAGGGCATGCAATACTTCAATTCCTCTGAGAAGGACATGTACCAAAATGGTACCTTGGTGGACACAACATCTTACCACTCTAAGAAACGAGGCAAATCGTTCTAGAAGGGCCTTTCAGAGATGCTGTGAGTGTCGGGCCAAATTGGTCAAATTAGCCACCTTTCGACGTGCCCAGCGAAGATACAAGTTAGAGATGAAGCGGTCAAAGCAGGAGAGTTGGGAACTCTTTGTGAAGGACTCTATTAATGAAGATCCTTATAGTTTAGCTTATAAATTGAGTGCCAACAAAATAAGAAACAAAGACATTTTAACGACACTCAAAAGGGACCGAGAATACACCCAAACAAACATAGAGACCATGACGCTTCTGCTAGACAGACTTGTCCCAGTGGATTCTGAAGTGCCAGAGGAAAGTCTGGACCAGCTAAGGCAGCGAATATCTTTTGATAACAGAACACTAACATCTACATCTGTTGAGCCGCTTTTCAGGATAACTGATCTTAACAATGCCCTGGCAAAAGCCAAGAACAAGCGAGCACCTGGTAAAGACAGAATCCCTGCCGAAGTTTACAAAGAACTCAGCTATGACAACAAACTCCACTTGCTGAACACTTACAACAAGTGTTGGATCTCTGCGGTCTTCCCGAAGATCTGGAAAATTGGCAGGATCAAAGTGATCAAGAAGGCTGGACCTAGGGATTGGACACTTCCAAATTCATACAGACCGATCAGTTTGCTTCCCGTGGGTGGTAAAATCTTGGAAAGAATGATAGCAAAGAGACTAACTGATTACATCGAGGGAAACAACTTATTGAGTGATATGCAATACGGGTTCAGAGAAGGCAGGAGTACCAATGATGCGGTCTGCAAATTGGTTACAACCACCAGACAGGCAAATGAGAAATATGTAGCAGCACTGCTAATTGATATCCAAGGAGCCTTCGACTCCTTGTGGTGGCCAAACATCATAGACACTTTAAACAATCTAGATGTTCCTCGGAACACTGTTGCAATCATCAGGAACTATTTGCAAGATAGGGTAGTATATCTGGAACATGATGGTGACTCGGTAACAAGAAACATGAATCTTGGATGTCCTCAAGGATCGGTCCTCGGACCTTTGTTATGGATCATCACTTTTGACAAGTTGCTGAAGAAGGAGCATGTGGAAGGTGTCACACCGATTGCCTTTGCCGATGACGTTGCCTATGTTATAAAAGCAGACTCCAGAAGAGAACTTGAACTCAAATGTGAATCAACTTGCAACATCCTATCAGATTGGGCAAAGGGTGCCAAGATGAAGCTCTCCACCTCGAAGACGGTTGGAATCATAATTAAAGGCAAAATGGCGAGAAACCCAACAGTTAGATTAGACAATAATACCATCACTTTTGTAAACAAGGTAAAGTACCTTGGAGTGACTCTTGATCATAATCTTACTTTCACAACACATGTAAAAGAAGTCAGTGAAAAGGCCATCAACTTATTCAATTCAATAGCTAGAACAATCAGACTGAAATATGGAGTAAGGTTTTCCCAATTGAAGTTCCTATACACCACCGTATTTCTATCCATCCTTAGTTATGGATCAAGAGCTTGGGAGTTTAGGATAGGACACACTCATGTAAAACGAAAAATCAGGGAGGCTCAAAGGCGAGTTCTCATATGCATCACTGCAGCCTACCGCACCACATCTCTTCAGGCTTTGTGTACCGCAACTGGAAACATGCCTATAGATATAAAGTTGCAAATGGACCTAGACCTCTGGAAAGTTAGAAAAGGCCTACTTCTTGAATCGAAGAATGATGTCAGAGAAAGACACCTGCGCCAGTGGCAAGAGGAGTGGGATAGATCTGAAACTGGAAGATATACTTACCATCTGCTTCCGAAGATTGCTACCAGTGATCTCTCACATCTCCTGGAGTACTCCACCATTCAGATCATCACAGGACATGGTGCTTTTGGATCGTACTTGCTCAGCTTCAACAAGAAGGAATCGAGTGACTGCCTTGATTGCGGAGATGAGGACCACCCGCTACACGCCGTCATGGAGTGTCCAGCTCATCTGGACTTAAGGACCAACCTGGAAATCGAGATCACACGAAAAGGACTTCTACGACCATGGAGCTTCGCCACCTGCCTTGAGGACCCTGACACTGCCAAAATGATCCTTAACACCTGGAAGGAGATTCACCGTAGAAGGGACATCTAGACCACCCTGAAGAGGACTTAGAGTCGTCGACTTTACCCGACTCGAGAATAAAATCCCGGAAAAGACAACTCAACCCCAGTGGACCTCGGACCCGTGGGCCCCCCGGCTGAATTCATCGCTGGAAATGAAAAACACAACGGGCAGCATGCTGCATGTCAAAACCCCTGCATGATAGTTAAATAAAATTTCATATAAATATAAGAAACAAAATCAAAGTTTGAGAAAGAGAATATACACCAAGAGGCAGAATGCCAAGGTATGTCTAAACTGATAGGTACTTGGTGTAAATAAAGAAAGAAGTGAAAAAAAAAAATAAAGTGATCGCGGCAATACCCGTGAGCATATCTTGCGGTTTCGGCAACACCGATAATCGTTTCCCGCGATCGTGGCAACAAAAGCGGTAGTGTTTCGGTTAGGCGACGATTCCGATGCCTGGGCTCCGGATTCCCGGAGGTTTGGGTGGATTCCTGGAGTTTTCCAGGACATTTCAAGGTAAGATAAAATTCCCGGAGGTTTCCCGGTTTTCCCGAATTTCCCGGAGAGTAGACACCATGCCTGGAAGGACATGGATTGAAGCTGACAGCAGGAAGAGGAATCCGAAGATATTTCAGGAAAGCGGCCTGGTGAATAAGTCTCTGACTTAAACCAGGGGTGGTGGAGGGACCGCTGGGCTTTGGCCAAACACCTCTCACACTCACACACACAACAATTTCGATATCACTTCATTCAGTTTTACAAGACGGGGTTTTAAGGTTTCAAAAACAAATTGCTAAGTCAAGGTTTTTTCACGGTTGACTTAGTTCACAGTTTTAAGGTTTTCACGGTTGAGTGGGAACCCTGCAAAAACTGCACTCACACAGAAAATGTAGCAAAATAAGACTATAAACTCCGATTAAGTTATCAAAAGAAAGGTACTAGCAGAGCGGGCGCACGGCGACCAAGTTTATTAAAGTACAAACATTCTATTTCACAAACTTGTGTAAACATAAAACAGAGTGTTCAAAATTTCCTATCAACGGTGTTTAAATAGCCAGTTAAGCATGTTTTCAGCACATGTTTGAAATATGTTGTATCTTATTCCAATGAATTAATACTTGTAGTTATCTTTGTAAAAACACAAATTGCAAAAATTTTAATTCCAATTCGTGTTTTTACAAATAGAACTGAAAATAGTAATTCATCGCAATAAGGTACAACATATTTAAAACATGTACTGAAAACTGGCTTAACTAACAATTTTAACGCAGTTTCTTGAAAATTTCTAAACCTCAGTCTAAACTTGGTCGCCACGCGGCTGCTCCGCCAGGCACTTTCTTTCGATAATCAAAGTATAGAGTTGATTTACCTCAGTTCTAGAGTCAGAGAATACACAGGTTCGCAGTTGGCCCAGTAGTTCTACCAGTGACTCATGGCTTTCATTGGCTATTCCTTTCTGCTTTCTGTTACATATCTGCTTAACTGAGACAAAAAAACATGACTAATACAGTAACAAACAGTGCAAGCATAACTTACATGAAAAACAATTCAAATTTTGTTTACAGTACAACCCCCCTAATCCGTCACCCATAAATTAATTGTTTGACTTACCATATCTTATTAACCGTGCATGATCAGGGAAGACGCTAATAATGTTCCCGTGACGTATAATATTTTGGTACGATCTTGGGAGTCAGTGATGTGTAGGCCTACTATAATTGCTGCAGATGTTCAAATTTTGCCAAGCACAGAGGAGCCTACGATGATGTTTCCTGGACGCAGGAGATATTTAGGAGTTTGCCCAATCCCGAATAGCAACGATAGGTAGTTTTCATCATCGCAGGAGAAGATGATTAAATGTTTACTGTACCACAGGAGATATTCAGGAGTTTGCCCATTCCCAAATAGCAAAACTAAGTAATTTTCATGATCACGGGAGAATTTGAGTAAATGTTTCCTGTACAGCGCAGTAGATATTCAGGAGTTTGCCAATTCCCAAATAGCAATGATAGGTAGTATTTATGATCACGGGAGTATTTGAGTAAATGTTTACTGTACCACAGGAGATATTCAGGAGTTTGCCCATTCCCAAATAGCAACGATAGGTAATTTTCATGATCACGGGATAATTTGAGTAAATGTTTCCTGTACCGCATGAGATATTCAGGAGTTTGCCCATTCCCAAATAGCAACGATAGGTAATTTTCATGATCACGGGATAATTTGAGTAAATGTTTCCTGTACAGCGCAGGAGATATTCAAGAGTTTGCCAATTCCTAAATAGCAATGATAGGTAGTTTTCATGATCACGGGAAGAATTTGAGTAAATGTTTCCTGTACGACAGGAGATATTCAGGAGTTTGCCCATTCCCAAATCACGACGACAGGTAGTTTTCATGATCGGGGGACAAGATGATTAAATGTTTCCTGTACCCCTGTACCGCAGGAGATATTCAGGAGTTTGCCGGGATCACAGATAGATCCCTAACAATGATAAGGTTTATGTGATTGCTGGAGACGATAGTGATGTCCCTGCGAGTTTGGTATTTTTCTGCAGTTCCTGAAGCCCAAGAAGATAAATTCAGTGACCGTGAGATTAGTCGAATGTGGAAGACGATGTTAAAGTTCCCATATCCATAAGAGACGTTCAAAATTCATTACTATTCATTATTCATTGGCCTTCATCATTGATCCTCATTGAACGAGACTGTGTCTAGTTAAATACGAAAAAAAACCACAAACAAAAAGTTAGGGGTGTGCGAATATTCAAAAGTTCGAATAGTTGAAGGAATACTTTAGTACTCGAGCCCAACTCGATCGAAATGAGTATATTCGAACATTCGAATTGTAAACAAACCTAGAAATAATCTCTAATTTCAACCAAATAAATCATGGTATTGTGTTGTTTAATTTCATCCCAACATTTCATGCTTTGTCGGCAACGTCAGCATATTATGACATCTTCCTTAACTCTACACAGAACACGGCCATTTTCAAGGACAATAATTTTGTTGTGTGATTATTAAAATCCCTCCGCTCTGCTGGCTAGCTTACAATGTTCCAATACGATAGGCTTACTGCAACCTACTGGCATGGAAACACAAGACTGTCAACCATTCTTATTTGATTAATTAACAATAGCCTATATTTAGCAGCAATTAAGTTTGTATTAGTTTACCAGACAGATATCTATTTGTATACGTTTTAAATATATTCTTTTAGCTTAGTTAATATTAGGATCTACTTTTTGTAACGTGAACTTAAAGTACAGTAGAATGACGAAATAAGTTGTATGAAAGTGTTGTCTGTGTAGCAACTAGTAAGCTATGAGGATAGAACTGCACTTCACAGTCTTTAGCAATTAAACATACTCCTTAACAAGACACGAACTCGTGAAATATTTTTTTAAAAATAATCAGCAAAATTTTTTTCCATTTTTGAACAGAGAAATATATTTTTTTTAACTCTACTTTCTTGTTTTGTTACACAATTTTGTCTCTGCTTCTCTTCTGAAACAACACAACCAGATGCGTAATAAAGGCCAATGACCTAAATATCATGATTGTGCAATGTTGATATAAAAATGCAAATCATGGTATTAATTTGAATATATTTGTAGTTAATTCAAATTATATTTTTGAAGATTCAAAGTTTCTACACGGAAAAAGAGAATCTGAAGTCAAACCCGGCAAAGGATTCCCGAAAATACAACTATGTATCATTGTCCTGCTATTAGAATCCCAGGACAAGCCACCCCTCTAGTCTAAATATAGCTTCAAGGTTGCACCCTCCCCTCCCCCCACGACATCTCCATTCAAAGTGGCCCTCTCCTTTCGAGGTCATTGTCCAACCCATCCCACCCTTCTATTGTTTGTTTTGCCTTACTAGTATTTATATTCTGACTTTTTCTTTAAACATTAAATTAAATAAATCATGGAAGTTGTAAAGGAATAAATGTGATAAAACTTTTAAACTTTATAGAGCAAAACTACTGACTCAACAAGTTCTTGGAAGTACTTGACTTGCCTACAAAAATGTTGTCATAAAAAATATTAATGGTTTTGGGTTTTGGGACTGCTAATGGTTTTTTATTGCCCCACAACTCTAGTAATAAATTATGAAAATCCTAAACAATCATCTGATAAACCATTTTATGTGCTCCTAACCAACAACAGTGAATTGAAAGTAACTAATTGTTATAATTTGTACCGGAACCGACTACGATAGGTAAATAGGCTACGGTGCACCGCAGACCCCTAACTGAATGCATTTACGTTTTTAAAAGTTTAAAATAAACAACCCGTTATTGTGTTGGTTGGAAAAAAGTAACCATGAGTTATATTATTTTGTCAAAATGTTTGTTTATTCCTAAAAATGCTTTACCTAATTTTTAACTACTTTATTATGGCTATGACATGCTATGACCTATCTTAGTTGTAAAATAGGTTAAGCCTTTATCTTAACTGTTTTTTCTTGACATAATCATGTTATGAGCCAAAGGTGTTGATAATGTGAGTGTGATACTGTAATTGTTGTTAGAAAACCATAAAATGTAGGAAATTATTCATTTATAGTTCATTTTATAGTATTATCAATTAAATAAAATGAGAAAAATACTGGAAGCCCTGTGCTGTACCCATTTTGTACCAAGAACAAATAAAATAGGTAAGAGCAAAAATTGATTATTTTAAAATGTTAAATTGGTTAAAATCAGAATTATTAACCTTAGTAGGGTTCCAAAAGTGTGATTGGAAAATACTTTGGAGTCTATCATAATAACATAAATATTCGCTCAGTAATATTCGATATTCAAAAATATTATGAAGTATTCGATTTAACCCCCAAAAATCGCAGTTCGCACACCCCTACAAAAAGTATACGCACACATAAATAAAAACTGTAATTTACATTACAGGCAGGTAGCAGACTGTACAAAAAATTAACTGTCCCGCTCTAAATTGTCGTATTTTTATTGTATAGATTGTAAGCTTTATCACACCGTTTTATATTAAGTAAAAACTTCAAAAAGATTTTTGAAATAAATCATCATTTTTATTTTAAAAATATACTTCAGAAATAGTAAGTATGAAATTAATTGTATTATTTATTTTTTCAATAACTGAGCCGTGACACGTCCACACGCTCCACCCCACGCGATTTCGGGCCTCAGTGTTTTAACCGTAGGTGGCAAGGTAAGACCTAGGCCCAAGACCGATTTACTTTTTCATTTTGACGTCCCCAGAGGCCAAAAACACCATTCTTTAAAATTTATATATATAAATGTGTGTGTGTGTGTGTGTGTGTGTGTCTGTGAACGCAAAAACTTTAGTAATTTTTGTCCGATTTTGATGAATTTGGTTTAAAGATGTAAAGCGGGATAAACTTGAACGAGTTCGCGAACCAGCATGATCGGACCATGGGAACGGGGGTTTTACAGGGGGTTTATGGGGTAAAAATTGGTTTTTCAAATTTTTGACCCTAAAAACACAACATTTCTCAATTTCTCTCTGGACCTTTTTAATGAGCTTGAAAAATTAGGCCTAATACATAAAAGTGTTTTTGTACGGTTATTGGTAACAGAGAAATTAAAAAAAAATGAAAATATTAAATTTCCATGTTATTCTTATCGAGAATATTGTAAAATATTGTAGGTAGCTAGTTTGCTTGTTTATGGGTATATTTTGATTAAACTTGGCAAATTTATTTATTTTATGCTAAGCTATTGACATTTTACTAAAAACACACTTCATTAGTTTCCTTGTAGCAGCAAACCTAGGTACTCGTTAAACCTAATCTTATTTAAATAAATTTCATTTAAAATAAATTCAGACAAATGGAAAATTTGCTTAGTTGGCAGGTTTGCTGCGGCGGGGGTATATTTTGTCTAGTATTTCGTCGCAGGAATTGGTTTGGATTTGGGTCGTTTCGCAGCAAACCTGCAGACCCGGAGTCAACGTCCGCTGTGAAACATGTGTTTGTCATAAGGCCCATGACTGCCAGCCTAAAAGGGCGAGGTTCATAATGTCCAAATTTCACAAACTCCAACGTCTAAAATATTAAATAAACAGTGCGTTTCATAATGTCCAAACTTCATAAACTCCAAAACTATAACTTTCAAATAAGCACCGTTTCACAATGTCCAAATTTCACAAACTCCAACGTTAATACATTAAATAAACAGTGCTTTTCATAACCTCCAAATTTCATAAACTCCAAAACTATAACTTTAAAATAATCACCGATTCACAATGTCCAAATTTCACAAACTCCAACGTTTAAATATCAAATAAGCAGAGCGGTTCATAACCTCCAAGTTTCATAAGCTCCAACGGTACAGTCTCTGCCAGAAGTCGCTGCAAAGGTTGCCGAGGTTTGGTATGTAGGCGCTACTGTTGTAGCAGCGCGACACGAAGCATCATTGTTGCTCCGTAATTGCTTTCTTAAGAGTGTAAAGTGTTGGTATTAATACCCCTTCCGCAGCAAACCTGCAGACTAAGCGAATTTCCATTTGCCTGATTGGATTTACACTAAAATGACTCCTAAAAAATATCACATTTATTCCCTATTTGAATAGAATTAGTTTAACGAGTACTTAGGTTAGCTGCAATAGGGAGGGTAAAATTGTTTTTTTTTGTAAAATGTAATAGTTTAGTATGAAATTAATGCATTTTCCAAATTTGATAAAAATATGTCCATAACAAGCAAACTACAAAGTTTTTAGGGTAAAAAATGGGAAAACCCAATTTTTACCCCATAAACCCCTGTTGCCATAGTCCGATCACCGATCATGCTGGTTCGCGAACTCGTTCGAATAAACGTAGGTTTACACGTTTGTACCAAATTTCATCAAAATCGGATGATTTTTGCTCGAGTTATCGCGATAACGGACACATATATAAATAAATAAATCTATATATGAATTAGAACTTATGGTGTTTTTTGGTCTCTAGGGACCTCAAAACGAAAAAGTAAATCGGTTCCGGGACCAGGTCTTACCATGAGTACTACGGTAATAGCTTATTAGGGGAAATTCGCTAAAATGTAAATTTGATTTGCACATTGTGCTAACACATATTTGAGTCACACAGCTGAGTGTTCTTCAATCATTAAAATGCACGTATAATCAGTAGTTGAGCGCTGGCGAACGGTGCCTGCTATCTGACTGTGGCAACCACTAGAGAGACTTCTGGCCCAGACTGTACCGTTGGAGGTTATGAAATTTGGACATTATGAACCGCTCTGTTTATTTGTTATCTAAACGTTGGAGTTTGTAAAACTTGGACATTGTGAATCAGTGATTATTTGAATGTTATAGATTTGGAGCTTATGAAATTTGGAGGTTATGAACCGCTCTGTTTATTTAATATTTAAACGTTGGAGTTTGTGAAACTTGGACATTGTGAAACAGTGATTATTTGAATGTTATAGTTTTGGAGCTTATGAAATTTGGACATTATGAAACGCGCTGTTCATTTAATATTTTAAAAGTTGGAGTTTGTGAAATTTGGAGTTTATGAAACGCTCCCGCCTAAAACCATGTTGTACGTTCAAATTTGTTTCATCGTTCTGCATCTGTTGGTATTTTTGTTCATGTTAAATGTTTCATAGTTTTTGAAACACATGATTTATTAAGTGGTTTAGCAAACATCAGATGAGGTCCCGGATGAGAGGCCTTTAGATGTTCCTGTCCTCGGAGAGGGTCGCCCCAGGAGACACTCCACCTTCTCCTTCTTTGGGCTGCCAGCTACCCTGCTGCTCCAGAGACCATTAAGCTGCCCTTCGCCATCTACCACCAGATTGGTTCACCCCCACCTAGCCTACTACAAATGTGAACCATTACCGCCGTTCAATACCGCAAGTTTTGGAATTTCATTATTTTAAATTTTGGGAACATTCTTTTTTGAACTTTAAAGGGGGGCCCATAAATTATAATTGTTTATTTGTTTAGTAGTAATTTGTAATTTTTTTTGTTGTTTAAGGTATTTAGGCTATTACATTTTAACTATTCAGTTACCATATTGAAGGTATACAAAATTTGCTCACCATGTATTTCTTATGGGAGTTTGTTTGGCTCTTCTACCCGACCGATTTTCATTATTAAGGTCTCAAATTGAAGGTAAGCACGCACAGATTTGCCATCAAGAATTGGCATATGTTTATCTATAATCTCACTCGGCTTATACATAAACAAAATTTGCTCTCCATGTATTTCTTATGGGATTTAAATTTGGTTTTTCTTTTTCGAGTTGGTTTGGCTCTTCTACCCGACCGATTTTCATGATTGAGGTCTCAAATGGAAGGTATGAACACACAGATTTGCCATTAAGCATCGGCTTATATTTATTTATAATCCCTCTTGGCTTATACGTAAAAGAAATTTGCTCCCCATGTATTTCTTATGGGAGTTAAATTTGGTTTCTCTTTTCAGAGTTAAACGAACTACTGTATTAGCCTACTCGTCTAAAAAACATAATTTGATTGATTTTTTTATTCTTATTTCAATTTAAAGATGTAGTTCACCAGTTATAATTATATAATCCTATATATATATATATATATATTTAGGTCTAAGGACCTTCAGTGAAATACAGGCTTTCATTTAAGCTATCAGTTATTCAAATCGGACGAGTTTCAAGCAAACGTAACAAGAACAACCAACATAAAAATTATTTTTCATTCGGTTTTTCTATGATTAAAAATTAATAGCTCAGTATTGTTCATGTTTTTATAAGTTTTAAACACAAAATAATTGGTAAATTATAGGCTTTAATTTGAGCTATTGATCGTTTGAATCAGTTAAAGCTCGAGATACTGTATTACTCAATCAAAAATAATAAATATTATTTCTTGGATATTATATTTATTTTAACGCTGCGGAGCAGTATGGGTCCTCTAGTTTATTTTTAAAACAACTAGATACACAAAACTCAAATTGCCTTTCTTCTAAGTAACTATCACTTAAAAAACTAGGCACAGCCACCTGCTTCCATTCAATGTTTTCTTGTGTGTTCTTTTCAAAAGGTTTGTAACCAATTTAATCTATAATCAGGCAATCAAATGCGTAATTTACAAATAACTTAAAATTTTTTTTTACTTAAGGTTGAAATCTGTATTTAAATAAGGATTCAATCTTTTAATTTTTATCGTCCTTAAAAAGATGTTTCAAAATGTACTCCTGCTGTCCAATTCAGATACTTACCTATGCTGTGAACACTGCAGGCGATGTTGAGAACTTCCACCAAACTTTTGCCAAGTAGAAGTGTATTCGCATGAGTCAGACGTTTACCATGCTTTACACGATGTTTACATTCAACTAAATTAGGTGAAGTTTCTAGAAATGCATTAGCTGCACTTTCACACCCTTCTGCGATCAAGTAGCCTAGAAAAAAATGTGAGCTTAAACAACCAAATCAATTCAGTTTTTAATCTTATATAGGTAAATATAGGTAGTCTAAAAAACTATCGGCTAGGCCTATGTCACCCAATCTTTGGTTTATAAGTTATGGGAGCTACAATTTTATTTAACACTGTGATTTGGTACAAACTGAAACAAAAGTTTTAAATAATATTTCTTAGTGATTCATAAAGTGGAGACAACGCAAAATTTAGTGAAACTAACTGGTAGCACAGAAAACATACTACTATAAACCCAGAATGCCAACCGCATGGTAAAGAGCATTAAGTGTTTTGAGAGAGCTTTGCCTGTCAATCGTAGGCAGCGCTACCAGCGGTGCTATGCTGAGTGCATGGCAACGCTGGTGGCACTGCCTACGATTGACAGGCAAAGCTCTCTCAAAACACCTAATGCTTTTTACCATGCGGTTGGCATTCTGGGTTATAGTAATATGTTTTCTGTGCTAGTAGGCCTATGACTGCTTTGTTCACTTGGCTAAACTTAATGTCTTTCATGAATAGCTCTATAAATATTTACTCCTAATTAGCCTATCCAGATATGGTAGCCTAATTAGGTAGGCCTAAATGTAGATATTAAGATCAATTGAAAACAGGAGAAGTACCTAGAACCCGAAACAGGCCTAGCGTAGTTTAAACACTCCACAGGCATCACACGCCTAATTTAGTTGGAGAAAAATATATTTATCTTGTTCGGAAGGGGGCATGTAGAAGCATTACATTTCTTCTAGCTGCCTACTTCCTCTGGTTGACACTCTAGGCCTACTCAAATGTTATTTAAATATAGACCTACCAAGTGTTATGGGGGTACTTTATACCCTCCAGACCCCCAGTCAATTAGGTCAATCAATTATATAAATTATTTAAGATGGGGACACCACTAGGTGCGTATTTAAACCCATATATGAGTGAAGGATGAGTGTAGGATGAGTGGCTCAATCTTGAAGTCTTGTAAGTGACTAAGGCCAACATGTCCCTTATTTTATTTTTTATTTTATTTTATTTCAACGGACATTCCATTTTGTTTGATTTGGTACTAAAGATACATTGTACAGTTCAAGACGACTAATATTAAATAACAACTGTGAACTTTTAACACTTAGACATAGGCAACAAAACAAATAACAATAATATAGTAATTAACAACAATAATGTAGTAATTAACAACAATAAATTATAGCAAAAACATAACAAAGACGATCGTATTACATAATAACCATAAATTACAAGGAAAACAGGCATGTTTGGGAGAATAAATATTAGCTTAAATAAGTATAACAGATTATGACTAGAGCAAGTATGAACAACTTTGTTTAATATTTACAAGGAACATGCAGTGATTTTGATGTGATTTTGAAAGAAACTAGGAAAAAAACAAGTGTAAATAATGATTATTACCAACAAGGATATTGAAGATACAAAAAAAAAAAAATAATAAGCTAAACACTCACGCACTATCTGCCTGTTCAGGCGTGTGGCCCTTTAAAGGCGCCACCTAACACAAGCACACCATTCACCCACAAATTCCGAATGCGACCCTTTAAAGGCATCGCCAAGCACAACCGCACAAACTCACTTTACCAACACGTATCATCTGGGCTGTCGTTATTGGATGAGGCGTCGCTTTACCGCTCTTCTAAAACTGGCCAGGTTGCTGTTGAAGAAGTCAACACTGGAGGAGACGGTGTTGCCGTGGCGCTGTATTCTGGGCAAGGTACTGTTCTTCTCGTAATTGGTGGACTGGTGGGCTCTACCAAAGAGTTCAGTTGACCTTGTGCCACTAGGAACGCGAAAATGGATTCCCTCCAGTATCTCAGGACAGTCTATTATTCCGTTGACAAGTTTAAAGAGAAAGATGATATCCTGGAGTTTCCTTCGGGTTTCCAGTGTATCCAACTTCAGCAAACAAGATACCTCATCCATTGGTACAGATCTGTAAGTGAACCCAAGTCTCAAGCCGACCAGGCGTAATAGTCTGTTCTGTACTGACTGCAATGTGGACACTGCCGTTACCTGGTGTGGGGACCATACAATAGATGCATATTCAAGTATGGGTCGCACATAAGCACAGTAAAGCAGCTTTAGCGTGGATGGGTTTGTAAGGTAGTGTGAGGATCTATATATTAGACCTAAGTTCCTGCTTGCTCTGGATGAGATGTTATTGATGTGGTTGGTAAAACTTAAAGAAGAGTGCATCAAAATTCCAAGGTCCTTGGCTTCATCCTTTCTCTGAAGACTACAACCACTGAGAGTGTAACTTGTGTTATGTCTAGAACGTGATCTATGGAAGGACATGTAAAAAAATTTTTCTTTGTTAAGCGCCATGCAATTTTTGTTACACCACACTTCAACGGCATCTAGGGCGTCCTGAAGGGAGCTCTCATCGGCTTTGTTCCCAATCTTTGTAAATATTTTCATATCATCAGCAAATAATAGCTGGTTGACTCCTAGGCCCCTGACGATGTCATTAATGAAGGCAATAAAAAGTATTGGACCCAAGTGTGATCCCTGCGGGACCCCCGAAGTAGCATCGATCACTGAAGATTGTGAGGAGGTAAATCTTACAATAAGCTTTCTATTCCTCAGATAGCTTCCGAACCATTGCAGCAGCGATCCGTGGATTCCATAGGACTCAAGTTTAACCAGGAGATGATTGTGGCTAACCTTGTCAAAGGCCTTTGAAAAGTCCAGGTATAGAGCATCAACCTGGAAACCCTCTTTGAAAGCAGCCATTACGTAGGATTCAAATGTGACAAGGTTAGTTATGGTCGACTTCCCCGGGACAAAGCCGTGCTGGGAGGGGCTTAAGGCTGGAATTATCACTGGAGATACCCTGGTTAGAATTAGTTTTTCAAAAACCTTAGCGAGCACCGGTTGAATGGCTATGGGTCTGTAGTTTTTAGCATCGGTTTTAGAGCCTGACTTGTGGATAGGAATTATGTAGCTGGACTTGAGGGCAGTTGGGAAGATTCCTTGATGCACAGATTCATTGAATAGCTGCTGGACAGGCTTAGCAATAATGCTACTACAGTGTCTGAGTACAGAGGGTGGCACAGAGTCAGGTCCACAGCCTTTAGATGTGTCTAAGTCGCGAAGGGCTCTTAACACTTCTTCCTCAGAGAAAGTACATGAGCTGATCAGGTTAGAGCTGCAGATATCATATTGTGTTTGGGGGGCCACAGTAGGTGGAGTAAAAACAGAAGAGAAAAAACTAGCGAAAAGTTCACACATTTCCTTTGGTTCTGTGGAGGTCTCCCCATTAATCAAATCAAATCAAATCAAATCAAATCAAATCAAATCATCTTTATTCCATAGACACAAATTGTGAAAAGTACAATAGTGTATAGGCTGCGTCAACAATATAATACAACTTAAAACTAATCTAAGGTTGAGGCAAAATAATCTTCTATTTTATAAAAACAGTTTTTTAGAAGAATTCTCTTGATGGCTACTTTAAAAACATTTAATGGTAACTTTTTAACTTTAACTGGTAACTTGTTGTACAATTTGGTAGCGGTATATTTGAAGCTAGCTTGAGTGGTGGCATAAAGGCACTGATCTATTCTTAAATTATTACAATTCCTTGTGGCATACTTGTGCACATCCTTATTACAAAGTAAAATATCACAGTTGTTTTTAACATATAACAGACATTGAAAAATATAAATACAGGTTAAGGGCATCACAGACAATTTCTTAAATATAGGCTTACAATGACTACGTGGGGGAGCATTACTTAACAGTCTAATGGCTCTTTTTTGTAAAACAAACAAGATGTTGGCATGGCTACAATTAGCCCAGAGAATGGCACTATATACTAAATGACAATGAACATAACTAAAATACACAGTTAACAATACATCTGGAGAAACAATTGATTTTACATTTCTTAAAATAAAAATTCCTTTGGAGAGTTTTGGAGCGATAAAATCTATATGGGAAAACCATTTTAGGTTGCTCTGTATCATCACACCTAAGAATTTGACTGGAGTTTGAGAATTCTTAGAGTTACCATAGGTCATTTCCAGATTTTGAGTTTTGTTTACGTTAAGAGACAGCTTATTGGCCTTACACCAGTCGGACATTGTTTTAACAGACTCAGAAATTACACTGTCCTGCATACACTTAGTAGACTTGATATTCAAACACACGTCGTCTGCATACATAAAACATGAAACATCATTACTTTGGACATTAAAAGGTAAGTCATTAACATAAATAATGAAGAGTAGGGGGCCTAAAATGGACCCTTGTGGCACTCCGTGGGGAGTGTGTTTAAGCTCTGACAGTGAATCCTGGAAATAAACAGCCTGGAATCTGTTGCTCAGATATGACTCAATCAAAGACACGGCATTATCACAAAAACCAAATGACTTTAGTTTGCCTAGTAAAACACTGTGAGACACAGTGTCGAAAGCCCTTGAGAGATCAAAAAATTTTGAGCAAACACCTTGTTTTCTTTCCATGGCCTCTAGAGTGTCCTGAATGTAATTTAAGACCGCCTCCGTAGTGGATCGGTGCTTGCGGAAACCAAATTGCGCACACGAAAGCAAACCGTTTGAATCCAGAAAGTTAACTATTTGCCATGAAAGCACCCTCTCAATGACCTTCGACAGAGTGGGCACCAAGGCCACAGGCCTATAATTGCTAACATCCAATCTATTACCTTTTTTAAATATTGGCACTATCTTAGAAATTTTAAGTTTGTCTGGGAAAGTTTTTCCCGTAATACAGGAGTTAATGATGTGTGCAATGACTTCACATAAATAATCACTACCAAACTTTAGAATCTGAGAACTTAAACCAAAAATATCAAGACTGCTGCTGCTGCTTAAAGACAAAATAGCTTTATGTACACATTCTACTGATACCTCACAAAATTCAAATTTAACATTACACAAAGGAACACTAGACATATACTCATCGGCACTGGTTAAACTAACAGGAATGTTATCAACAATATCATCA